GGTGCCGTGACCCGGAGCTGCCGGTGATGCTGCCCTCTCTCCCTCCCTCAGACCGAGCGGGCCTACCAGAAGCAGCCCACCATCTTCCAGAACAAGAAGCGGGTGCTGCTGGGCGAGGGTGGCAAGGAGAAGCTGCCCCGCTACTACAAAAACATCGGCCTGGGCTTCAAGACTCCCAAGGAGGTAAGGCACGGCCGTCTGCGGGACCCAGGCGGGGGCAGGGCTGCCCCCCTCCTGGTCGTGCTCCTCGGGCTCGGCATCTGCTCTCACCGCACCCCAAAGGCCGTGACGGTCCTGCCAAGTGTGTCCGCTCGTAGGCTGGCGTAGGTGTGGCTCCGCTGAGCACGGTTGCTGAGCTTCGGTGCTGCCCGAGCTGTTTGTCCATCCAAATGCTGGCAATCGTTTCTCTTTGTAGGCGATTGAGGGCACCTACATCGACAAGAAGTGTCCCTTCACTGGTAATGTCTCTATCCGTGGCCGAATCCTGTCAGGTGAGTTGTGAAGGTTCCTTAAGGAGTAACGGTACAGGCGTGGTCCCGTGACTGCCCTGAAGCGGGTAAGCAGTCGAAGCCCACGAGCTGTGAGCGTCGGTCTGGAGCTGCCTGGGAACTCCGCTGTGGTCCTTGAGCTGCACATGATGCTGTTCTCTCACGATGGTCTTCCAAGTCTCATGGTGAAGGGGCTTTGACGACAGTGCCGTATGGCTTTGCTGATGCCCAGCGAAAGGACCAGTTGCTGGCAGCTATCCTTCCAGACGTGCTGTTCTGGGGTGCAGATGTTGATGTAGTACAGTAGCAGATAATGCAGGGAGCACTGGTTCTAGGAAAGGTGTTACAGTGTGCTTAGGGGTCTTCAAAAAGACAAGAAAAATAATTTGTTTTGTAATACAAATTGGAGTCTTGTAGCCTGGCAGTGAGAAAGCCCTTTTATCCTGGTAGAACTAGGGTCCCAGAGCACCCCTGAAAGGACGTGTTTACAGTTTATTAATGAGGTAGATAGGGAGAAATTACTGGAACTGAAGGGTACTGCCTTCGGGTGTCAGATACCACTCGTCCCTGCTGATCCTCTTGGATAGCTCTTGTAAAAATCTCTGTCCTCTACTAGTTACAACCCAACTCTCCAGCCCGGTTACCGCTGGTCAGTGTGTGCTTCCTTATGCTCATCGCTGTCACGTCCCCCCGCTTCTGTCGCCCAGGTGTGGTTACCAAGATGAAGATGCAGCGCACCATTGTCATCCGTCGGGACTACCTGCATTACATCCGCAAGTACAACCGCTTCGAAAAGCGCCACAAGAACATGTCTGTGCATCTCTCCCCCTGCTTCAGGTGCGTGCGAGTCCCCGCGGTGACGGGGGGGAGCGTTGCCACGTGGAGAGGAGGCGTGTGGCAGTGCCAGACGCGCTCCGAATGTCCCATATACGTGTTTATATATACTGTTTATAATGCTGAACTCGGCTTTTCTGTGGAACCTGCAGTTCTAACGCTAAGTGTGCACGTCAGTGTGGCACGTGCAGTCTTACTGCTGCTTCTGACCTGGAACCTGCTTACTGGTGGTGATGTCTAAACTCACGATGGTCTTCAGAGCCCCCGCTGGTGAGGGGGGCTGCTGACAGTGCCGGTGGCAATTGCTGAACCGTAGGACAGGTTCTGGTCAGTCTGCCTGTTACCGTACACCATTACAGCGTTACAGTACTCAAGAAAGGGTAAAAACTGTGATGTTTCTGAAGTAAACGCTGAGGCCAGAGGGGCCAGGTTCAAAGGCTGATGGTTATTTTTTGTCTACCACCTGTTTCCTAAGCCCGTCTTTGGAGTGCAGGTTTCCAGAAAAACCGGGACTGGCACTGCAGTGCAGCTGATTCTGCTGAAGTGCTTTGAGCCTGTGTGTGACTGGGAGGGAAACTCCCTGTCTCTGAAGGGTTTCCCTTCAATGCTCGGCACTCATCCCGCTCTTGAAAAGCTTGCGTTGAGCCTTGTCTCGAGTTGGAGCTCAGTGTGGAGCGATGGACTCGCAAGGCCTTGTGGCAGCTGCGGGGGGGCGACTGCTGCTTTTTAGGCACGCTCGTCTTTGCAGCACGTAAAATAAGACCACCCTGCTCTACGACTAAAGGTATCTGAGGTCACTTTCTGTGCTGTGTTACTCGATGGCATCGCGCAAGGCAACGTGTGTGCCACAGAGCAAGCCACGTGTAAACACAGAAAGCTCGGAACCGCTGAAATACCACTGATGTCTTTGCAGGGATGTCCAGATTGGGGATATTGTCACCGTGGGAGAGTGTCGTCCCCTCAGCAAGACTGTCCGGTTCAATGTCCTCAAAGTCACAAAAGCTGCTGGTACCAAGAAGCAATTCCAGAAGTTTTAAAAACAGCGTAAGGAAGATACGCAGGACAAATAAAAGTTTTGTAAAAACGTACCCTGTGTCTGTAATCTGAAATAAATAGCGTGGGGACGCAACAGCACGTGCGGACTCATCGGACTACGGAAGTGGGCGAGATGAGTGCACCTCTTGCGGAAAATGTGAGAGTATTACGCAGATACTGGTTCAGAAATTCCAGGTTTTCTGTTCAGAAATTACGAGAGTTTGGGTGAGGGAGAAGGAGCGAATGTTGTGCCTTCGATAGAAAAGGGCCACGGTCCCCATCTGCGGAGCTGGCACGCAACCTGACCGGTACCGTGAGCCGTCCGAGGTGCGGCATAGCCAGCCCCCACACAGCCTGTGCATCGCTCTTCTCCCAGGCTTTGTATTCCAGGACAGGCTGAAGACAGATTTTTAATGTGTGGAGAACCCGGGTGCGGTAAAAAAGGGAAAGGGGACACGCTCTGGCTGCTTTTAGTTACTTTCTGGAGAGTTCTTGGGGCTTTCCAGTGCAATACTGATTTCTGGTACGCCATTTCACTCCTCCCCAGCATAGCTGCAGGCGGGAACAGATTGGAGGTTACGTGGTAATACGGTTTAGAATGATGTAAGACCTTTTAGTGATAACAAAGGCAGTTGTGACTATAAAGATGTTTCTCAGAAATCCTAAATGTGTATCTAAAGAGAGATGCCGTGTGGTGTTTTCACACACAAGGTGTCCAAGGCTGTGGTGCATCGGCAGCTGAAGGGAGTGGGAATTAATGCTAAAGAAACTGCTCTTGCTGCAGATTTTTTTTAGAGGCGATAGTTCCTTGTGGTTCCAACAGTCATAGGAAACCGAGTAAGCCCTTCTGTAGGAAACTGATCCCGTGTTCGGGGGAAAAGCCGGGAGGGAGCGATGGCGTGACCCAGTACGGATGAAACTCTTGTTGTGGAGCAGCAGGAGAGGGTGTATGATGAGAACCAGAGGTGGAACAGTCAAAATTCAGTGTTTTAAGCCCGCGTAGCTCAGCTGGCAGCATTACCTTAACCCAGGGCTGGCTCTGGCAGCGTTGCCGGTTGAGTTAGTGCTGGAAAGGGCAGTGGGAGCGGTTTGGTGCCCCACAGCTTGCAGAAAACGCTGCGTCGTGGTGACTCCTGTATTAGCACGCGTCTGGCTTGCGAAAATTTAGTGTTTGTGTGAGAGCTTTTGGTTCCTGCTGCCTTGTACCTTTGTGGCAGGGATGTCCGCTTACGTCTGGGGGGAATTCAGTGGGATTTGGGAGGAGTGCTCGCTCTGTGGCGGGCTGGAGACATTACCAAAAAAGCCAATCTCTTGTCAGTCCCATGGAGTGAAGATAGGACCCAGCACTGCATGGGTCTTTGTACCTAGATGTTTTTGTTAGTGCCCACTGATCAGAAAGCTTTTAATAAACTCTGGGTCAGCTTTCACTAGGATACGAGTGAATGTTTCCGGCAGCAGCCGGGTCAGACGGCTTTTCCCTGTCTGTGCGGGAAGGGCCCTGCCTGCCAGGCTTCCCAGCAGCCTTCCCCTCCTTCCACGGGGCTCTGCCTGAACTCTTTCTCTCTTTATCTTGACGGGGATGTGTCAAACTGAACCAGCCCGGTCTGTCCGGGTGGCTGTTTGCGATGTCTGCACGCAGTCGTGCTATGGCTGTTACCTGTGGGGACCCTCAGACGAGGCTGCGGGGGGGGTTGTCCGCGTGGGGTTGTGGTGCCCGGAGGTTTCTCTGCCTAAATCCACAAGCCTGGTGGGAGGCTGGGATCAGGGCTGGGGGAAGAGGAGGAGCAGGGGCCCAGCTGGTGGTACAGGATCCCGGCAGAGCTCCGGAGCTGACATTCCCGCCCGGGCTGGGGGATGTCGCAGCTTCGCTGGTGTGTCGGTGCTGGAGCAGCACGTGCGTCAGCTCCTCTGCTCTGTCACCCGGAGCTCAGCTGTGCCGTCCGCCTGGGGCAGAGCGGGCGGGAGGCAGCAGGTCGTGCCAGACCGGTGAAAAGGAGGTGGCCGGTGCTTTCCAGAAGTCACCGAGGCAAGGGCTGAAATGGGTAAGCCATGGAGCAAGCGGGGGAGCACCTCTGGAGGCACATCCCTGGGTGCCGAGGAGTCAGGCAAGAGCCACATATGGGAGGGCAGCAGGAAAGGTGGTGGTCTCGGGGGGACTCTGGGGTGCAGGAGGGCTCGCAGTGCGGCTGTCTGGCAGAGCGTTGGCCTGGCTTTGCCCCTGGCCCGGGCAGCTCCTCGGGGATGGCGTCATCTGCGGCTGTGCTGGGAAGGTGCTGGGCACATCGCAGCAGGAGCCTGCTGCCCTGCCGTGACCTCGGCTGAGGGATGCCTCGGTCACTGCCTCCACACCAAGCAGGTCTAGGTAAAATGGTAATTATTCACCACTTCCACAGACAGCAAGACTAACTCTGGAAGGTCTGTGTCCCGCTGGCGTGCTGTAGCAGCTTCCCCAGCGCAATTGCTCCCTGGGGATCCAGTGTTCAGCGCGGCTCTGCTTGCCGACTCTTGGCAAGAGCACGTCAGCTTCTGCCACTGCAGGAGTGTGTAACCTGTCCCTTAGAAGCTCTTGGAGGAGAGAGATCAGGCAGCTTCCAGCTTGCTCAGAAGCTACTGAAGGAGCAGCAAGACTAAGCAGCGTCTGGGGGCGGTTGCACGACCCGGTGGAGCTGATCTGGTGGCTTGCCGCTGTCGAGCGGAGAGGGTCTCGCTGCCCTTCCTCCATCTCCTGCCCAGCAGGTTTCGCTCACTAACCAGGCAGAAAACAGCCAGCTTTTCTTCTCTCCAGGTCATTTTCTGCTGGTTCAGTGAGTTGAACCAGAGCAGCGAGAGGCGAGGGAGGGGGCCTGGCCTGGAGCTGGGGGGAGTGGGAATAAGTGGCCTCGTTGTTAAATCTGCTCCCCCCCCTTCGTTAGTGTGGCCGTGTTTGATGAGGAGGCAGCTTGGCCACTCAACCAGCAGCTCCCCGATCCAGAAACCTGCTCCTCCCTCCTTCCACGCACCCGTCGGTGGCTGGAGGAGCCTCCGCTCACCGGGCTCTCCGTGTCAGTCGTCACACCAAAGGCATTTGACTTGAGAGCTGAGTGGGACCCGTGCACTTATCTTTGAAGAGATAAAGCTACATTGCTAGTATCCCCAAACCTCTTCTGGAAATCCTAATTACACCTTCTAATCAGTCCCCAGTAGGCCTGCAGGCCGTCCGGTTTTGAATGTTTTCACTGGGGCTGGTGTCTGCTCTGAGGTATCTTCAAATCAACAGAAAGGCTCAGGGGAAAAAATTTCACTGCTTTCACTGTGACGGATTATGAGCCAAAATTTCACCAGAGTTACAGTGAACATGGTTAAAGGTTTTAAATGAGAGCTTAACTTAGCCGCACTCCGCATGAGGAACCTTGTTGTCTTTGGCGGTTTAAACGAAATGGCTCCTTTTGCTTTCAGAAATTATGAACATTTGAAAATTGCACCAACGGCGTCTCCAATAAACGTTCTCATTAGCTGGAGCGGAGGCACACGGTGTTGGTCTGTTCTGAGGACGGAAACCTTCCATCGCCACTGCTCATCGACAGGCACATCCAATAAACGTTCTCATTAGCTGGAGCGGAGGCACACGGTGTTGGTCTGTTCTGAGGACGGAAACCTTCCATCGCCACTGCTCATCCAGACAGGCACAATGAATATTTGTGATGGTGTCTCGAAAGCAGCCCTGCGCTGCTGGTGCGGCCACGTCTGGGCGCTGGGTGCCGTTCGGGTCCCCCAGCGCAGGCAGCGAGAGGCTGGAGCAGACCAGGGGCCCTTCCCACCTGTGTCAGGGTGAGGGGACGGACCCCAGGGCAGAGCGGAGGGGCAGTGGGATGAGCAGCGACCAGCCACGGCCCCCGTTTAAGCCACCAAGAGATGACCTGTGTCGTTAGCGGTGAGCTGGTTTCGTTTTGATCCCATGTACAGACACAGAAAAATCTCATACGCAGCTCAGCCAATGAAGCTTTAAAGGTTGCTGAAAGAAATTAATGCTTCAGCCTGGTTTTAATGGAAAATAGATCCTGGCCAATTAACTTCTGGAAGGAGTTTTATTTAGCAATTGCATAACGTTGTCATTAAAAATGTATCAGCAAATCACAGAGTAAGTAGGTTACAAAGTGAGTAGATTTCCAAATATATCTGTTAATTGATTTAAAATATTAAATAGTTTGGAACTAAGGGTCTGTCCGGATCCTAGCAGAAGCTGTCCTCCTGGGTGAATATTGCCAGTTATCAGAAAAGGAATATGAAATCACCACTGACGAAAGCTGTGTATCTTCCCCAGGCAGACAACTGCTTGTCTGGCTGTTCCTGAAACCTGCTGCCAGGTTGTACCCGCGTTACGAGATCCATGCCGCCAGGGAACTCGCAATCCTGCGGCTCTCGGCATCCCCGGCTGCATGAGCGGGGACGGTCTGCCAGCAGCGGGGCAGCTCTACCGAGCGTGCATGGCATGTGAGAGCATCGCTGGTGGAAATGCCCCACAAAGTGCTTTGGAAACCTGGTGCAGGTTCAGGGAAAACGTGCAGAAGTGGGTTGGAAATCGTCTTGGAGTTGGAGCTGAGAAGCCAAACTGCTTAGCTTAAACACAAGGCGGCTGAAAAACGGCTTGATTCAGTCTTCGTGTTCGTACACGGGGAGAGTATACCTGACCCTGCAGTCACGTGCCTTCACCTCGAAAAGTAAGAAAAATTAGTTATGATTGTGAGAAACCAAAGATGGGGGAAAAAAAGACTTTGAACAGCTTCCCTCAGGGGCAGCCTCTTGTTGCACGAACTATTTTAGCTCGACTTCCAGTCCGCAAACCAAGACTCAGTCTAGGCCACGGTGTGTGATGGGCATGAGAATTGCTGAAAATGGCCTTGGAGGGATCCTTCCCCAGCAGCTGGAGGTTCACAACTTTTCCTTCACCCCAATATGATCACAGCAAACGTGCTCGTGGTTTTCAAACTCACAGGCATCAGCCTGCTGGCTCACATCTTCAAGGCAGCATCCCTTAGGGAGACGGAACTGGTGCTTAATAAAACCAAGCAGATGT